CAACATGTTATAGAAATCTTATGTATACACACATTGTGCTTTATTTAATTTGAGATATATATATATATATATATATATATATATATATATATATGTATATATATATATATATATATATATTATAATATGTATAAATAGTTTTATATTTAATTGTTTTATTCAATCACGTTGATCATATGTAATAATAAAACTAAACAAGCAGAAGCCCTTTTTCAATGATAAATGCTAATTTAATTTCATCAATAAAAATATCGACAGACTGTACATTTTATAAACACAAGTTTAGCGAATCTCGCTATCAGAGAGAGAAAAAAAAACACAAACTTCTTCTATAAAGTGCCTTTTAAACGAATGCCAAAGACAAAAACCTACTTAACACAATAGATGAGGCAATACGTCATAATGAGCACACAAATGAGTACACCTTGTTTAGAGCGCTCACTAACTATTTAATCTCTCAAAAACAAGTTGCACGTAATTAAACATAATATCAAGTGCGAAACAATTGTTAGTAAATTTACATGCTTGACAATATAAATATATTCGTTTTTTCTTAATCTTATACCCAAGTGTGGTAAAATGACTTATATTTGAAGTTCTTCAATGTAAGTGATTATCTTTCATATAAGTCACTTATTAATGTCTACAGATTTGTTGTTATGATTCAAATCACAATCGAAGTCATATATTTTTTATAAATTTCCCTCCCATGTAATTCAAATGAATTCTAAAACAAATTTTAATTTCATAATATGAAATAATTTTTTTAATGCATTTACAATTTAAAAGAATGAAAATCAATTGCTTATGGATTGGATTTAGATCAACCTTTGTGTATAAGTTTACAATATGTCAAAGACACCACCAATTTAAAAGAATGAAAATCAATTGCTTATGGTTTGGATTTAGATCAACCTTTGTGTATAAGTTTACAATATGCGTTCTGTTGTCTTTGATTAAGTTGCTTTCTTTATAGCCTATGTTTCCAAAATGAAAAATTGCTTTGTAACAAGAAATATTTCTCTTTATTGTTTACAAGTGAAGGGCCGAGTAGAAAAAGTACAAAAGTTAAAATTTGTATTCAAACATTACTGAAGCCTAGCATTTTATCTGATTGCTTCCCCTAAATCATTCCTGTAAATATCATTAATGATACATATCCAAAAGTGTTTCATTCAACGTTATTTCGAGCAGCTTTTAATGTATTTAAATAAGAATTTAAAATTGTAAACTCATTTTGCTCAAAAATGAAAAATGACACTTTAGTACGTTTTTACTCGGCCCTTCAATTTATTTCATCCATATTATTACACTTGTA